CCAGGGGGCAGCTCAGATTATTCCAATTTGCCAATCCACAGGAGCTTTCAAAACCTAGCTTTACGCACCAGGCTTTTCATTCATAAGATGGTCCCTGAAGTTGCAGCGTGCTGTTACCCTGTCCTCGGGCACGACTCCTGGCATGGCCCTGCCTCTCTCATATGAAACTGCCTTTCACCTAACCCAGCATTAGTAAGTTGTGTCCCAGCATCAAAAGACTCTGTAAATCTTATAAAATGGTGGCCCTACTGTGAATTTTCTGGGCCCATGTGAGATGAGGAGGTTGCATATGCAGGAATGGGGGGCACCGAGGTATATGTTGGGGCCCTGGCAGGGTAGGAAGTGTCTTCTCATGGCAGAGCATGCAATCACGGTGTGCCCAGGGTGAGGTGGAGGCATCTGGTCAGAGGGGAACAGTGGGACAATGGGCTAACATGCTATCTCTCCAAGTTCCTCCACTGTGAACACACTCTTCTGTCCTTTGTATCAGCAAGTACCTTGTGGCAAGATGCTCTGAGACTGTGTCCCTATCTTGTTCTTCATATTTTCACCCACGAATTTTAGCATCCATTGATGATCCCTGCCTAAAAAAAAATCAACTATGGTTTGCCAAATGGTAAGGATGCAAAGTTTTTTGAAAACGAAGAATAACTTCAGAGACTTTTGTGCAGTACTTGCAAACTATGGCGTGGGGACTTTGGGAACACAAGCAGGCCCATTCACGTGAACACTGTCTAGCTGACATCACGCTGCAGTGGGACAGGTGAGCAGACGCAACAGGCACTGTGTGTCCCCACAAAAGTTCAACTGTGATCAGGCCCTTCACAGAAAGGGGTTGCCAACCCCTTTGTTTTAGGAAAATATTGCATTATGAGACAAGTAAAATGTTTTCTAAGGAACTAGAAAAATAATTCTGATAAAAGCCTGACCAAATCATCAAAATAAAAAAAAAACAGATTAAAAAGCAAAATTGAGATGATATTCCAGAAGCAGAACATAGGCTAAGATAGAAGATGGAAAAGATCATGTCTTTTGCCCATTTCATGATTGGATTGTTTGTTTCTTTGCTGTTGAGTTTAATAAGTTCTCTATAGATCTTGGATACTAGTCCTTTATCTGATACGTCATTTGCAAATATCTTCTCCCAATCTGTAGGTTGTCTTTTAGTTTTGTTGACTGTTTCTTTTGCTGTGCAAAAGCTTCTTATCTTGATGAAGTCCCAATAGTTCATTTTTGCTTTTGTTTCTCTTGCCTTCATGGATGTATCTTGCAAGAAGTTACTGTGGCCAAGTTCAAAAAGAGTGTGATGGGCAAAAGACATGAAGAGAAATCTCACCGAGGAAGACATAGACATGGCCAACAAGCACATGAGAAAATGCTCCACATCACTGGCCATCAGGGAAATACAAATCAAAACCACAATGAGATACCACCTCAAACCAGTGAGAATGGAGAAAATTAACAAGGCAGGAAACAACAAATATTGGAGAGGATGTGGAGAAAGGGGAACCCTCTTGCACCGTTGGTAGGAATCTGAACTGGTGCAGCCACTCTGGAAAACTGTGTGGTGTTTCCTCAAAGAGTTAGAAAATAGATCTGCTCTATGACCCAGCAATTGCACTGCTGGGGATTTACCCCAAAGATACAGATGCAGTGAAACGCCGGGACACCTGCACCCCGATGTTTATAGCAGCCATGTCCACAATAGCCAAACTGTGGAAGGAGCCTCGGTGTCCATCGAAAGATGAATGGATAAAGAAGATGTGGTCTATGTATACAATGGAATATTCCTCAGCCATTAGAAACGACAAATACCCACCATTTGCTTCGACGTGGATGGAACTGGAGGGTATTATGCTGAGTGAAATAAGTCAATCAGAGAAAGACAAACATTATATGGTCTCATTCATTTGGGGAATATAAAAAATACTGAAAGGGAATAAAGGGGAAAGGAGAAAAATGAGCAGGAAATATTAGAAAGGGAGACAGAACATGAAAGACTCCAAACTCTGGGAAACGAACAAGGGGTGGTGGAAAGGGAGGTGGGCAGGGGGTAGGGGTGACTGGATGACGAGCACTGAGGGGGGTACTTGATGGGATGAGCACTGGGTGTTATGCTATATGTTGGCAATTTGAACTCCAATAAAACATAACTTTTTTAAAAAAGATGAGAAAACCAATCCAAAAAGGATGACAGCTAATAAAGGCTACAGAAAAAGAGAAAATGTTCTTTTAATCCAAAATTGAAGTACAAACACTCTTATAATGACCATAATGAATGAAAAACATTTACTCCAAGGCACATTATCTTGAAATTTTGAAATACCGAGAAAGAAGAGTAAATTCTGAAAGCTTCCAGAGAGAGGAGAGAAAGAGAACAGGTCACATACAGAGGAAGAACAATCAAAATGGCACTATGACATCAACAATGCCAGGATACACAAGCGTGAGAAAACTGCCTCCACGTTCTAAGAGAAAATATTTGTCATCCTACAGTTTGTACCCAATTAAACTATTCTAATTTAATTTAAACCCAAATTAAATCCATCAGACATTTTCAGAATTCATGCATCCAAAATTGTCTCCCACGTCACTTTTCTTAGAAAGCTGCAGGAGAATGTGCACCACTAAAGAAAGAGGGGGGGGGGACATAAATTAAGAAAGAGGAAGACAAGACTCCATAAAACAAGATTCCCACAGGAACTTCCCAGGATGACAGTTGTCCAACAGGGCTAAGAAGAAGTTTAAAGCAAGCAGAGGCAGAACTCTGGAAATGAAATAGCCTGGGGGAAAAAAACAAAATTTGTAGATTATTTGATATGATTGGGTTAGAAAAAATACTGAAGAAATTGGCCAACATATGATAGATTCAACTTCTTGGAAAATTTAAGGTTCACTAAAGCCGTGCAAGAAAAAGAGGAAGACAATAATTCATACAAGAAAAATAAAAAGTTGTCAAAGAAAGAAGTATCCTACTACTCTCTGTGACTCTTCAGGGAATGATACTGCAGTCATAATTAACAAACCATAACGACTTATATAAAATTGGGTATTTGGTATCATGCAAGAGAGGAGGTGGCTGGAGTAGAAAAGCTGTATTTTATCTACCTTAAGTCAATAGATGTCTACAACTGACAAATCCAAAAACAGCCACAAAGGAGTATCATTTAGAAATATGGGGCAAATCTAAGAAGAAACAGCCTTAAAAAGCTGAATATTATCTCAGACCCAGGTAAGGGCAGGTGAGGGCAGGGCTGAGTCTTCTCGCACCATTTGGTGCTGTGTGGTCAGGCTCTGATGAGACACTCACAAACGCCATGGCTCTGTGAATGCCTTCCTTGGCCTCATTTCCCCTTCCCCCAGAATTGCCCAAAGTCAACTCAGATGTGAAGGGCTCCCAAGCTCATCCTTCTTGGGATGGATGCTTCCTTCATGCTCCCAAAGCTGCTGGTATATTCCTTATAATAATTGGTTGATTCAACAAATACTATTATGAGACTGACATCCTGTTAGATGCTAGAGACAGAGGAAACCGGACAGCAGATACACACGTATTCAATTCAATGTGGACAAGAGTTATAACGAGATGCCCCGGCCTGAGTTTCCCCACTGTACTGTCATCACAGGACTACTTTGCTTCTCATTCCATCCAGGTATTGCTCACCTGGGAGTAAAGAGAACAGTGCTCTGCTCTGTCTCAGGCTCTGCTGCACCTCCGACATTTCCAGGACACCTATACCCTCTACCGTTTAACTCAAGGAGTTCCAGGTGTCACCACACACTTTCCAATTCTATCCTGCAAGTGACATGTGGCTTCTCCCGACACCTGGTCCTCTTCATGACTCAAGCCACTGCCTCCACATTCCCCCAGGTGGGGCAGGTGCTGTACACCCTTCTGGTGGTGCCACAAAATAACATCGTCCTTGCTCTTCACTCTGACCCAGATTTCAGATTTCTCCCTTCCCAGGGCTCTGGCCCAAGGCCCCAGAGGTCAGGATGGCAGGGACAGTTTCGGGGCAGGAGTCCTTTGTATGGTCACATTTCTTTGGCTAAGAACCTAATATCTGTCCCAGATCTTTTATTGCTGTCTTCAAGTAGCTCACACAGACACTTCCCTCAAGAGAGATAGCTGACCAGATAGCTCAGGATGAGAACAGAAAAGAGAGAGGAGGGGACCACTCTCCACGCCCCCCCCCCCATGGCAGGAGGAGCAACATGGCATTTCAGAAATCACTTCTGAGAGTAACCTTAAATGGGAGATAAAAACATGATCAAAAAATAATCTATACAACATAAAACTAATTTAGAACCAAATCCCTAAAAGAACCACATATGCTTCGATACATGTTATCCCTATTTGAAGCCCAAATATCTTGTCAGTTCTCTTAAAACACTTGTGCAGAGGATGTGCTCACCACTAACTCATCCGTCTTGGTCTCCACTTTTGTCAAGCTGGGAGTCTTCACTGCATTCGTATCACACTTTGCTCTTTTAAGCAGTACCAGTTGCTTCTGATGATTTCAGATACATCTTACCTTGTGAGGTAGGCACCTGTCTCCTTTAGTTTCATTAAATAATAATGCAGCTGCTGAATGCCATGAATACAGCACTTTCTCATTTTAACAGATACCATGAAGTTCATATTTAAATACACTTTTGCATTTTGGGTTCTAGCCAATAAAGAAAAACCCATACAACACACACACACACAGTGATCGCAAACATGTGCACCTACATACATACGTGTGCACACACATACACATGCATGGAGTGATCACATACGCATACACACATACAAACAGTGATCCCATGATCACATGCTTAAGCAGAATTCCTTGCCTTTTAAATTCTAAGGGCAGAAGTATCTTTTTTCTTATTTTATATGAATTTTCATTGGGATTTGCTATTTCATGTTTTTAAAATTTAACTTAAATTCTCTGAACATAAACTTTAAAATGGCCCAGGGATCATAATTTCTAATGTGAAAGAAGAAAGCATCAAACAGATAACTGCTTTATTTCAATTTCCAACACCAAGAACAAAACCAGTTAGTTCAAAATAAACAAACAGCAGAAATATTTTGCCACCCCCAGGCAATACTTAGTATGCTGTCCCAAACCAGTGGTTTATTTTTGCTATCTTCAGGTAAAGGACCAGGCTCACGATGAAGTATTCTTCTGTCTCTTTGATCCACACCAGCTCCACGTGCACTTTGCCTTCCGAGTCCACATAGTCAACACAGTAAGTCTGTCCCAAGAAGTTAGGGCCATCAGAGGGCACAGAAGATCTCATGCAAACAGGGGAACTGAGACACCAAAAGGGTTTCCCATATTCGTCCAAAAGAGTTATATCCATTATAGAACAACTCTACAAAATAAACATAAATATTCATAAGTGAAAGGACAAAAGGGCCAACTGGACCTGATTTACAAGTTTAAGTAATAGATGTATAAATGTATAAATTAAGCCTCTTCATGAAGGTTGAAGTGAAAGAGGAGGGAGGAGAGAAGAGAGAGCAGAATTACACAAGAAGGCAGGGCCCACACCAAGACTGTGAGAGCAAGAAGTGCTGGAAGTCTCAGGAATTGGGCGCTGGGGGGCAATGGGGTCATGAGGGTGGCAGGTTGGCTGCCCCTCCTCACCTCCACCTGTGTCAATAAATGCACGTCCGATACACAAAAGAGCAATAAAACGGGGTGGGGGGGCAGTGAGAACAGCACGGGAATGATGGTGATTGTTACATGCCAGTGAAGTGGTGCTAAGAGCCCTCAACTGTTGGTGGTAGTAACTCATAGGGCAGAGAGAGAAGAAGTACTGACACTGAGCAGAATCTGGTATCTGGAGGTGAGGGTGAGGGAGAAGGGGGTGCTAACCTCCTACTCCCTCCCCCACTGCTGCAGAAGAGCAGGGTCTGGGGAGAAGTACCAGCTGCATCTCAAGTGCCACGGGGACCTGAATCAGAGGGAGATGCTGATAGTGATTATTGTTAATGAGCTATAGTTTTAAATTTATTTTCTAATTGTGGGAAGACACATGCAGCAAAACTTTGCCACTGTAACCATCTTTAAGCGTACAGCTTAGGGCATTACGCACATTTACACTGCTGTGTGGCCATCAGCACCACCTACCCCCAGAGCTCTTTTCATCTTGCAAGACCGACACTCTGGAACCTATGAAACGATAACTGCCCCTCCTTGCATCTCCCCAGCCCCTGAGAACCACCATTCTCCTCAATGCCTCTGTAAACTGGTACCTTGTATGGTACCTCATACAAGTGGAATCCTACAGTATTTGACCTTTTGTGTCTGGCTTATTTCACTTAACATAATGCCCTCAAGGTTCACCCATGCTGTAGCATGTGCTAGAATCTCCTTCCAGGAGACAACATTCCATGGTATTTGGACACCAAGTTGTGGCTACCCATGCACCTGCCAGGGGACACCTGGGTTTCTTCCATCTTTGGGCTACTGTGAATAATGCTGCTATGAAATGAACATGGGTGTATCACATTAGCTATATTTTTTTAACATGTTCTATTTGTCAGATGCTAATCCAAGCATTTACATCTACTACTTTATTTAATACTCAAGAATTAACTATATTTCTCAAGAAATTATGAAGTAGTATCAAGGCTAAAATCTTGGCTCATTTTTTGCCATGACTTGTGCCCTGTGTTAGTGTTTTATTAATTGGAATTTAAAGCTTACTCTTAGATATCAGCATAAAATGAACCTAATTATAGATACAGGTATTATAGATACCTACATAGAGAAATATATAAAATATTATAGGTGTCAGCATAAACATTGCTTTCAGAGATCTATACACAATCAAATATGGCCAATAGCACTCACCATTTGGACTAAATGAGTCCTGACTCCAAAAAATGTTTCCCATAGAGAAATTTAAGGAATACAAACATTCCAAAAGTCAAAAACAAACAACCTGAGATGGTCTAGTAAATGAGTGATGTGAAGTGGTTCCCACCTCTGGAGGAGACCTGAGTGAAGACACAGTGAACACGAAACATCCTCAGCCCTGACAGTGGAAAGAGCAGACCACATGAGGTGGGGGCCACCCAGCAGGGCAGCCTGAGGAGCCCAACACTAGACCTTGCCTCTCCAGGTCCTGAAACAGTACACATCAGCCCAATGAGAGCCCATTCCACCACACCCTCTGTTTCTAGCAGAGCAGGGACCACAGTTCACAGACCACGGAGGAGGGCTCATGGGGGCTGAGAACAGACGGACCAAAGCCATTCCCAGGGGCTAAAATGTGTCTCTGTGCTCAGGCAGCAGGAGTCCTTCGGGAATAAACAGCTACCATTATGGCCATTTGATGAAGGAAGCTCCGTGGCTTCCATGTCGATGCCCAAGATAATACATCCAGTCAGCGGTCCTGTGGACCCACACCTTTCTTTACCCCAGTGCTCTTCATTATCTTAACTACTGGTTTAGCAGTCTCTTGGTTTTGTTACTTTAAACCTCATCAAAATCCAGCAGCACAGACTCAGTGGCTAGAACCATGAGCAAGGAGGAGACCATGGAGGAGAAGGTGACACCCTGGGCTGCCCCAACATTCCAGAGGGAGGTGAAGGAAATTCAGGAGGAGCAGTCAAGAGGTGAAAGAACTCTTCCACAAGGATGCCACTCGCAAGCCCTGCGCTCCTCAGCAAATGGCTTACTCTGGCTGCATTCATCCCCTCAGCTGCCAGACAGAGTTGTGTCTGCACAAGGCAGCTCCATCTCCATTTGGTCCCTTCTCCATAAGCACTTCCATCCTGGGGGCCGGGGCAAGGAGAGAGAAGGAGAGGTATTTTAGACACCCCCCAACCTTCCTCCACTCACCTTCTGCCTTTTTCCTCAAGAGAAATATGTTTCCAACTACCCTTCCCTAAATTGATCTCTTTCAGCACAAAGTTCTAGAAACATGCACACCTATGCAGTAGGCAGAACTCACCTTCCCTAAGGGAGTAAGTCTGTTCTTCTACCTACCCCTCACTGACCAATGAACTCTGCAGAGTCCAAGGGCAAGGAGTGGGGCGTTGGGCTCCTCCCAAGGTGCTTACTCCTGGAATCACCCAGGTCACTGCAGCACCACCAGCAAACCTGCTAGGGCATCTTTCCTGGGGGGAGGGAGGGCACAGCCACCACTGCACACTGAACTGTGACACACCCATCAGCAGACTTCACTTGCACAAAGCACAACCACAGTTATACTAAAATATCTAGCTTGGATTACAACCGATACCAAGCTCCACATAGATTTAGAAGTAATGTTAAAATAACACAAAAAAATGCCAAAGAAGGCATGAAAGGACCAAGCACTAGGAACAGGTATAAGAAAAGCCTTACCAAAGGAAACTCCACCAACCAGCACTTCTGATAGGAATGGAGGGAAGGCAGAGCAGGAGAGTGTTTCATTTTGAATTACACTGAATTCTACTGAAGACTGCAGCGGGGCGACTACCCTGGCTACTCAAAACGAGTTTGTAAAACAGCATGGCAACCAGTTATAGAGCAGCTGGCCTGCGTGGACTCATAACCAACAGCAGCCACTGCAGGCATCTCTAAAATGTATTTGAGATCATAATCTGACCTTTAAAAAGTAAAAAAAAAAAAATACTGATCAGTTTTTAACGTGATTTTTTAAAAATGTTTAAGGTTGAGTAATCCCCAGTATAAAATGATGAGTTGCTGACGCTGGACTCCAGGCATCAGGCTACAGATACATGTGATTTGAATGGCCTCAGTGGCAGCAAGCGTTAGCTTGACAGCCCTCACACTCCTCTGATGGAAAGAAATCCTCTGGCGGCAATACACCAGGAGGACCTCAGCTCCCCACCGGTGAGACCACACACCAAATCAAATACCACAGTGCAACAGCAGCTCCTCCATCTGTCATTATCATGATCATTCATAGCGCTTCTTTGCTTTCTGGCCTGGACCCAGAATCACTGATGTGGGTGACACTTTCAAACCAACCTGTCCCTGATGGTGTGAACAACAGTGTCAGGAGGCTCCGTCCGGGACACTACTTATACAATCTCCACAACAAACAGGAGATTTAGCTTTTTGGCTTTTAATAGTTATGTATATATAAGAAACTTTTTTTTTACCATTTACCCTCATTTATGAAATATTTTTAACTCTAGAGCAATTTCTTAACACACGTTTTAGAGTTTCACTATAGTTACACTGATCAGATGCTTGAGGGAAATTCCTGACCTGTGCAGCAAACAGAAGGGACAGGACATCACTTACCTCCGCTTTTTTTCTTGAAAAACTCTGAGGACATCTCAGTCTTAACTACCAGACCCCAAATCATGAACCGCAGGCCCACAGGGGAGGGTCAGCTGTGCAGCCCCGCTCCACCTCCTCCCAAAGCCCAGCTGGGAGAGGGAACTGCAGGGAAAAAGTGTGTGGGGACAGGCAGTTCATGCCTGACTTCAAGGACTCACAGCCCCATTTGCAGATCAAGCCACTCTGTTGGAAACCTGCACACGGGAGTCACGTTGGTCAAGTGACCTATAGAATCACTGCCTGGAGCTCATTCTGAAGCTGCACCTTCAGCTTCTGGTTGCTGTAAAAAATCTGTCCCTGTATTTGCAGCTAAAATGCTATTTAGGATGGTCTGTTACACAGCTTAGTCTACCTGACATAAAGTCCCACCAGAGGCTGTGTGTGAGAGCTGGGATAAAGCTTTGTTTCTTTGTAGAATTACTACACTTCCCTCCCCCTGCTCTCATCCTGCTCCAAACAACAAAAAAAAACACAGAACAAATGACATCATTTTTATAATCACATGGACACATTAAGTCTTTCATATCTGTATTCTACCTTTCTTGGACCTCAAGGTCTACTCTGGCTTTAACATTTTATTTTAGTGCATATTTTTATAAGACCCATTGAAAAACACAAGTCTGTGCTCTTAAAGATGTGAAACAATATTCTTATGTATATGATAAAAATAATCTGTACCAAAATTAAAATATTTGTTTACAAATAAATAGAATCAATAAAGCAGTTCATTGTATCAAATAGCAAATGGCTCAAGAGATAATATTTAATGATAATTAACTGATTTTAACAGTCAATGATAGCACTGCTCTCAATCTCAATCATCATTGGTAACTATTCTCACAAGGTGTCTGTACTTGTATGGCGGAATAAAGTTACTCAAGATAGATCCCACGGGCTCACCAGGAATATGTAAATCCTGATGGAGAACAAAATAAAGATGGAGAACAAGGAGAACCCCAGCATCCATGGGCACAACTGTTTCAAGGACCCTCACCCTCCTCCACCTCTTCTTCCCTCTGTCCCTGCCAACTCCCAAACACTAAATAAACTCTCCCATCCATGGGGATAATTTTTGGTGAGGTACAAACTGATATAACTGTTCAAGGAAGGGTTTCAAGGAAATATCTGTATCCTGGTATAAGAGCAATTAAGATGTTGAGTAACTGCTACTTGTTTGGTCCAACCTAGAGCTCTACTTCTTCTCCAGAACACAGACAGAGGGGCTTCATGGAAGGGCAGAGGCGCAGAAATGCTGTTGCATGCTACCCACTGCTCCTGCTCCCCCACACTCAACAAAAAACAGACGGTACTCAACAAGTACCTGTTGAATGAATCAATCAGGTGTCAACAGCTAAGAAAATATGCACATATCTTCAGACATGAGAACAGTAAAACTAGGACTCTAAAAGCAGTGTCAGAAATATACATTGACAACCCAGGGCAATTTACACGTTTAATGCAATCCCTATCAAAATGACATGGACTTTCTTCAGAGAGTTAGAACAAACTATTTTAAGATTTGTGTGGAATCAGAAAAGACCCCGAACAGCCAGGGGAATTTTAAAAAAGAAAACCATAGCTGGGGGCATCACAATGCCAGATTTCAGGCTGTACTACAAAGCTGTGGTCATCAACACAGTGTGGTACTGGCACAAAAACAGACACGTAGATCAATGGAACAGAATAGAGAACCCAGAAGTGGACCCTGAACTTTATGGTCAACTAATATTCGACAAAGGAGGAAAGACTATCCACTGGAAGAAAGACAGTCTCTTCAATAAATGGTGCTGGGAAAATTGGACATCCACATGCAGAAGAATGAAACTAGACCACTCCCTTTCACCACACACAAAGATAAACTCAAAATGGATGAAAGATCTAAATGTGAGACAAGATTCCATCAAAATCCTAGAGGAGAACACAGGTAACACCCTTTTTGAACTCCGCCACAGTAACTTCTTGCAAGATACATCCACAAAGGCAAAAGAAACAAAAGCGAAAATGAACTATTGGGACTTCATCAAGATAAGAAGCTTTTGCACAGCAAAGGATACAGTCAACAAAACTAAAAGACAACCTACAGAATGGGAGAAGATATTTGCAAGTGACGTATCAGATAAAGGGCTAGTTTCCAAGATCTATAAAGAACTTATTAAACTCAACACCAAAGAAACAAACAATCCAATCATGAAATGGGCAAAAGACATGAACAGAAATCGCACAGAGGAAGACATAGACATAGCCAACACGCAGATGAGAAAATGCTCTGCATCACTTGTCATCAGGGAAATACAAATCAAAACCACAATGAGATACCACCTCACACCAGTGAGAATGGGGAAAATTAACAAGGCAGGAAACCACAAATGTTGGAGAGGATGCGGAGAAAAGGGAACCCTCTTACACTGTTGGTGGGAATGTGAAATGGTGCAGCCACTCAGGAAAACTGTGTGGAGGTTCCTCAAAGAGTTAAAAATAGACCTGCCCTACGACCCAGCAATTGCACTGCTGGGGATTTACCCCAAAGATACAGAGGCAGTGAAACGCCGGGACACCGGCACCCCGATGTTTATAGCAGCCATGTCCACAATAGCCAAACTGTGGAAGGAGCCTCGGTGTCCATCGAAAGATGATGGATAAAGAAGATGTGGTTTATGTATACAATGGAATATTACTCAGCCATTAGAAATGACAAATACCCACCATTTGCTTCAATGTGGATGGAACTGGAGGGTATTATGCTGAATGAAATAAGTCAATCGGAGAAGGACAGATATTGTATGGTCTCATTCATTTGGGGAATATAGATAATAGTGAAAGGGAATAGAAGGGAAGGGAGAAGAAATGGGTAGGAAATATCAGAAAGGGAGACAGAACATGAAGACTCCTAACTCTGGGAAACAAATTAGGGGTGGTGAAGGGGAGGAGGGTAGGGGGTGGGGGTGAATGGGTGACGGGCACTGAGGGGGGCACTTGACAGGATGAGCACTGGGTGTTATTCTGTATGTTGGCAAATTGAACACCAATAAAAAATAAATTTATTATTAAAGAAAAAAGAAATATACATTGACAGAAATCAGGTTACATTAAGAAAATAAAACAACAAATTACCTTTATGCAGCCACTGAAAACATCAGTTCTCCAAGAAAGGCCAACTTTTCCAATAAGAGGTAGGTGTTCTGTGTTATTTTTAAAACGTATAACAACAAGCTTCACATATCCATTTTCAATGGATCCTGAAAAGATTTAAGATTTTTAAAATTATGATCCTGAAAAGATTTTAAGATTTTTTAAATTACGATATGCGAACGCAGGACAAGTCAAGAGTCCTTAGGCTTGCTGCTTCCTAGAGAATGCCTCATATGGCCAAGTCCTGGATGTAGGCATCTGGCTTGAGGCTGGTAGCATAGCTGTTCTCCAGAGACAGAGAAACAAGTGCATATCCTGGAAACATGATCTCAAAAGTGAGTGGGGGGGAGATGCCTGGGGAGAACCTGGAGGTTACATGTCACTGATGGAGGCCAATGTTGCTAAGGAGGCTGAAGTTCTTCTGATTTGATTAAGCTAACAGCAATCATGGTACGGAGCCTCTAAGAGAGCAGATGCCAGAGTGGCCCAGACATTAAACAGAAGGGAACAAGGAGAGCAATGTTCATAGGAATGAGGAGTTTGAGAGCAGGGGAGTATGGAAAAGACAAGAAGCCCCGCACACACATCTTTCACATGCTTACTAGTAGGCAGAAATCCATGCCCATGCTACCAACAGCATGAGACCAGAGGCCTTGCCCCTCCTCTGATTAGCTAACCATGGACTAAGGGCAACATAGCCATTGGCAAGGGCTCCTCCCAACCCAAGCACACAAATCCACTTTCCAAGGCCCTTACACATGGAGAGCCTATGCATGCACTGCCGAGCTTCCTGTGATGATGAGCTTCACACATTTACCCTGAAACATGACCACCATGCAGGACAACATAAGAGCTCCTCCATTTGGATGTAAGCTCTCTTCAGAGAGAGACACCTCAACAAAGATAAGAGGTGAGTCACGCAGGGGAAAGAAGAAGGGGACAGAAAAAGGTTCCTTGACCTTAGGTGAGTTATTTCAAGGGACAAAGTAGAGCCAAAGCCCCACCCTAAGAATTCTACACGGTGTCATCTGAAGCACAGTCTCGGGCCACTTTGCCAGCAGCCTCTTCTGGGACACAGTAATGAGCCCCTTGGAGCTTTCCAGCCCCACAGGAGGGCACTGTGAGGCCTTCAGTACCAAGGACAGGAACAGCCCACAGGTCCCCTCCTGCTGAGTAATTAGCAACAACAGTGCAGCTTCTCTCCTCCTCTCCCCTGCTGCAGGAATGAATGCCAAAAGACACTGACCCTTCCCAGGCAACAGCTCCGCTGTCACCTCTGCAGGGCTCAACGGAAGCATGGAGGAAATGTGTGAAAAGCCAAGCCTCAGAGGAGACACAGTAATGACATTCTGAATGGACCAGATGTGGCTCTGCTCTGCTCTATATTACTGCACAGCCATGTGCAAAATCAAGAGAGACCTCCAACCGGCTGGCATGTGTGCTGGCAGCCAGACGATGCCATACAGAAAACCACGAGTTCATTTTCCATGTGGCTTGTCCTCAGGACACCGCAGAAAATGGACCCCAAAGTACAACAGCCAATAACATCTCAATGGCAATTGTCTAAGCTAATAAACATGAAATCTCTGTGGAAGCAAAAAGACTATTGTTATTTTATTACCAAATATTCTCCCACTTTAGAACAACTTTAACATTTGCAGTATCTTGAAAGGTCAGAACTCCTTCTGCTTGTACCTCTAAGAGAAAAAGGCTATTTAAGCTTACCCTACATTTAAACAATCTGCACATATGTTCTATGTTAAATATATAAAATAGGCAATATTCTTGAGTACTTACTGTACACCAACCATTGTGTTAAGCACTTTATAGTAGCTTAAAAGACTAGAATATCTTAAAATCCTACTATAAATTAGGTATTACAGTTTTCTGAATTCATAGATGAGAGAAATATACAGAGAGATTAAGAGTACCTCACCCAAGGTCATGCCACTGGTAAGTGACAGAGACATGATTTAAACAGTATGTGTCTATTATAATAGATTAATATAATATAGAATTATATAATAAATTAAAACATACACAAAAGGAAACATAATTACTTATTTGCTTAAATACTAAAAATTTATAATATTTAATAAATATATATTATATAGTATGTAATATTTTAAATTCTCATAAAGTTCTGCTTTCATATTACTGCCAATAGAGAAAAATCTATAAATCAGCAGACAATATATGCTAGAGAAGCATTTATGGCTCCCCCAAATTTGTGTCAATTTCTCCATTGTGAGTCTCATGCTTACTCACCTCCCCTCCTCAACCTTCCTAGAACTAAGTCATAAGTGGCCTGGGTTCCTTCACTTGAGCTAATATACCCCTACTGAGTTCCTCCGTTGCTTAAAACAGTCAGAATAAATTCTGGTAACTCCAGCTCTAACCTACAAAGCATAAGGCCATCCCCAAAATGTAGAGAAATTAAATTCAAGGCTCACTGCCCTTGGCTTCCAGTGACATTCACTTACAAGCATGGCTTTTAGTCATGATAGGCTTCATTCCAAACCCTGCCCAGCCATTTACTAGCTGTGTAACCACATTCAAGCTCTAAGCTAAGTGAAATAAGGACACGAATAGAAAGTATTTTATAAGGCTTTGTGAAGATTAATGGAACTAATAATATATATGAACATTACAGTATAGATTATTATATCTTCCAGGCTAAATATGCTAAGCACCTTACATGCATTATGTCAACATTATTCCTCTATCTAAAGAGCCAAGCCTACTGCCAAGCAGAAGGTGGATATGTACCATGTACATGGATTACAAGACTCAATAATTATAAATGCATCTATTTACCCAAATGATCTACAGATTTAATGTAATCATAATCATAAACCCAGCAGGAATTTAATAATTTATAAAGAATCAATATAGAAAAATAAGTAAATAATAAAATTTGACAATCTGATTCTAAAATTCAAAAGGAAATAGGACCTAAAAGAGCCATACAATCTTAAGAAGAAGAAAAAAAGTTGACTTCAAGACTTACCGTAGAGGTACAGCAATCAAGACAGCGTGTCATCACTCTAAGACATACAGATAGATCAACAGAACAGAATAGATGGATCTAAATACCTACCAACACTTTTACAAACAATTGACTTTTGACAACGACATCAAAATAATTCAATGAGAAACAAAGTCTTTTCACAAAAAAACCTTACTATCCATATGGAAAAACAGAATGAACCTCAGCCCTTACCTTACACTTAATACAAAAATTAATTAGGGATGGATCATAGACCTAAATGTAAGGGTTAAAACCATCATACAATCAGAAGAAAGAACATCTCTATAACTTGGAATAGGAAAAGTTTTTAAACCCCCCCAAAAAAAGTATGAAATAAAAAAAAACTAATAAATTAGATTTGATCAAAATGAGCAACTCCTAATCATGAAAAGATACTATTAAGAGGCAAGAATATACAATGGGGAAAGGATGATCTCTTCAATGAATAGTGTTGGGACCATGGGACAGCCACACAGAAAAAAAAAAAAAAAAGAAATTGGCCCACTATCTTACACCATACACAAAAATTAACTCGAAATGGATTAAGACTTGAATATAAGACCAGAAGCCATAAAAATCCTAGAAAAAAAAAAGAAACATAAACTCCTTGACTTAGGTCTTGGTGATACATTTTTGGATCTGTCTCCAAAAGCAAAGTCAACAAAAGCAAAAGTAAATAAATGGGACTATGTCAAACTAAAAAGCTTCTGCACAGCAAAGGAAACCATCAACAAAGTGAAAAGATAACCTAATGAATGCGAGAAAATATCTGCAAATAATATAGTCAATAAGGGATTGATATATAAAATATATAAAGAATCCATAAAACTCAATATCAAAAGAAAATCCAATTAAAAAGGGACAGAGAATCTAAATAGACCTCTTCCCAAAAAAGACATAGAGATGGCCAACAGACACATGAAAAGATGCTTGACATAAATCATCATAAGAGAATGTAAATCAAAACCAACTGAGATATCTCCTCACTCCTCTCAGAATGGCTATTATTGAAAAGCAAAATAGGAAATAACAAGTATTAGTGAGGATGTGGAGAAAAGGGAGCCCTCACTGTCGGTGGTAATTAACTGCACTAATTTATACTTTCCACTATGGAAAACAGTGCAGATGTTCCTCAAAAATCCTTTTTAAAAACTACTGTATGATCCAGCAATTCCACTTCTGGGTATTTGTCCAAAGGAAATATAATCACTATGTCAAAAAAACCTCTGCATCTTCATGTTCACTGCCGTTCTATTTACAATAGTCAGGCATGGAAACAACCCAAGGGTCCATCAATGGATGAATGGAAAAATATGTAATACACATGTAAAAAATCATATCAAAAAATATGTAACACACATACAAACACACTAAAGGAATATTATTCAGCTACAAAAAAGGAAATCCTTCATTTGCAACAACATGGATAGACCTAAAGGACATTATGTTAAGTGAGCTAATCCAGACACAGAAAGTAATATAATGTTATACATCAATTATACTTCAATAAAAAAATGTTTAAAAATACCATTAAGGGGGGATCCCTGGGTGGCGCAGCGGTTTGGCGCCTGCCTTTGGCCCAGGGTGCGATCCTGGAGACCCGGGATCGAGTCCCGCGTCGGGCTCCCAGTGCATGGAGCCTGCTTCTCCCGCTGCCTGTGTCTCTGCCTCTCTCTCTCTCTGTATGACTATCGTAAATAAATTAAAAAAAAAAATTTTTTTAAAATACCATTAAGGAAATTAACAAGCCAGCCACAGATTGGGATGAGACATTTTGTAGAACATTTATCTATCAAAGGACTAGTATTCAGAATACATAAAGAATTATAATTCAGAAACAGATAAGTCATTATTTTTAAAAGTTGAAAGGATTAGTAGACACTTCAAAAAGAAGATATGAAAATGGCCAAGAGGCACATGAAAAGGCGCTCACCACTACTGGCCATTAGGGAGATGCAAATCAAAGCCTTGATGATCGATCCTACTCCCACACGTCAGAACAACTAAAATTTAAAAGACTAATAACATCAAACGTCGACTGGGATATAAAGCAACCAGAACACTCATACAACACTG